ACATGGACAGACATTTATATTAGCTAGACATAAAAAATGCATTTCTTAATGGAAAATTTGTGGAAGAAGTGTCTATAGAAATATCTCTAGGATTGAAGAACAACACTAATAATCAGATAGTGTGCAAACTAAAGAAATTGTTGTATGGGTTGAAATAATCTCTGAGAATATAGTTTTAAAGGTTCACCAAAAACTTCTTGCAAATCGGTTCCATCAGTGTCAGAATAATCTTTGTTTGTTAAATCAAATTACGAACGTATGATAGTCATCCTTATTGCAGATGTAAATGACATTATTCTTATAGGCAATGACGTAAGGGAACTTGAAATAATCAAAAAAATAATGACTTTAGCTTGAGATCAAATATTTTGGAACTTTAAGATACTTCTTCGGAATGGAAGTAGTGATGTTTAAAGAATACATTATCATATCTTAGATAAAATATATCTTTAAATTATTAAAGGAGATAGGAATGTTGGGATGTAAATCAATAAATACTCCTATAGGTCCCAATCGACGGGCATCAAAAGTAGAGGATAACAACCCGGTTGAAAAAGTTAGGTCTTAAAGACTTGCGAGAGTACTTATTTATTTGTCACATACAATACCTGGCATTGTTTTTTTTATGGGTGTAGTGAGCCAACATATGAATAATCCAAATGAAGATCATTTAGAAGCAACCTTTTGAATTTTGATGTACCTAATGATAACTCCAAGACATGGATAGATATTCAAGTAAACTGAAAATCTTGATATTGAGATCTACATCAATGTTAGTTGGGCAGGATAACTTACTGATTGAAGATCGACCATGGGTTAATGTTTATTTGTGTGGAGTAACCTTGTTACTTGGAGAAATAAAAAATCAAGCTTTTGTGTGGCAAGAAGCTGTGCAAATTTTTAGTATCGCGCCCTGATATTAGAAATTTGTGAGATGTGACTAAAAAAACTATTGTTGGAACTTTACATGGAGAACCAAAGCACTATTAAGATGTTCAATGATAATCAATCAACCATCGGGATTTCAAAGAATCTTGTACACTATGATCAAACGAAACATATAGAGATTGACAAACACTTCATCTCTGAGAAGGACAATGGGAGGGTTGTTCAACTAAGCCTCTCTTAACTCGGTATCAAATTGCTGACATTTTTACCAAGGTTCTTCATCGGTACCACTTTAGTGATCTCAACATTAAGTTTGAGATGTATGACATGCACAACCTAACTTGAGAGGGAGTGTTGATATACAAATTAGAAAACTGTGGGCCCGCTATTACGTTTGAGGGGAGAAATTTTTCTCCTGCAATTAAACCAAAAACCAATTAAATTCAATCCTTTACCCGCGCAGTAGAGTCAACATGGCCTATAACTTGATTATCAGTGTCTCAATCTTCTACACTGAAAGGGTAGAGTTGACAAGATCTTCATCTTGACAACTAGATATTTTATATACCAGTGATATGGTTGACAAATCCGGGCACAACAAAAATAAATTGACAAATGCCCAGAATAAGTGATGTAAGCTTGGTTCCCTAGTCGACTCCCACTAACAGGGTAAAACCTTGCAGGTCTTTGACATTTTAAATGATGAATTTACAAGAAAAAAGTAAATACTAAGAATATTCATGCTAACTAGTGTAGGCATTCATCATCTTGGTTTGCATGCCAATATTGCCAAGATCTCAAGATCAAATTGAAGTTATGAAGTTTAACCTCTTGAGCTGAAATCGTTAGATTGGCCACGCACAAATGAAATTGGATGTCAATCAACATAAATGAGTCAAGCCAAAATCGTGCTTGCTCCAACTCCTATAATGGGCATAATTACTGAATATTGTAAGCATTGTAGTTCCTTATCATTAATTATTAACTTGGGTGATTAATTGCTTATGCTAAATCACCAAGACACCTGTGCATTTCGTTACTCATGCATATTCATTAACTTGACTACCTGTAAACTCAATCAAATGTTAAGACACCAAATCAATTCAAATCAATCAAATCTTTTGGTTCTCCTTAAAGTTAGGGCTTCTAATCCTTCAATCAAAGTTAAGTTAAAAGCCAAGATAATTCAAATCTAGTTTAAATCACCACTTATCAGTAGGCTTCCTTTTTATGCGGTAAGGTTGCAAGACCCCCACCGAGCCTTCTTCAATAAATGTTGCAAGCCCCAGTCACATGATTGAGGTATAAAGCATTAAATTGCACTTTCATAACTTCAAATCAAGCTTGTGTAAAGATAATAAAATCTAACCTTACTTTTAAGCAAAACCCTTATCAATTACAAATTCCTTTAACCCTCGCCACCAAGTTGTGACATGAATAGGTTCAATATTGCTTAAATTTATAATACTAAAGTCCTCTACCTGTCTCTATTAAATTATCCAAAATTACCTTAAATTATCATTCTAAAATTCTCAGTTTTTATCTACCAAATAAGAATTGTCACCTTTAAGCTGACACAAAGTCATCTACAAACTACTGCACAAAAAGTTATCAAAATCCTGAATTCCTCATGTCGACTCCACACCAAATACGTTGAGTTTTGACCTAGGAGCTTTTTTATTAAGTATATGGGATCAATTTAACTCATATATCAATCAACCTCTTGCCTACTCAGGATAATCAGGGACAAATAATGATTATTAATCAAATTTCTTGGATGATGTGACCTTCCAAATCTCAATTTTTGGTAAATTGGATCCACCAGTTTGACCGTGGTTTCTTGACCAGGGTTGGCCATGTATCAATATCATGTTCCCTATATATAAAGCTAAATTCAACCAACTACATCAATGTCTTTAAACGAGGTATTCTCGAGTATCGCACTTGTGATGTAAATATTTATGCAGGCTTGCACCCATAGATATCTTAGTCTTCTAAATAAAATATTAACCTTGGATGATCCAAACTATTTTAGAGGAAGTATCCTGTACGTGCTGTAGTTGACCTTTGAAAACTCCATGCTTAGCTCCTTTCCCAATAATCCAAATTAGCTTGAAGGATATGAATCACATTACTGGCCGTTGAATGTTATTTAGAGCCAATAATGATCAAATATGAAGATCTAAAAGATGAGCTTTTTGGCAGAGTGGAAGGGTAGTTGGCAAAAAAGAGGGAGGCACGAGAAATTGCATGAAGCATGTACTTTAATGGAAGGGAGAGTCCTAGGCTTGTCAGATACAAGAACACCGTGCAATCACATAGGCATCATGTGGGCATAAATAGTGCTTTATGGAATAACAAGGATCAAATGGTGATCTCGTTTCTCTTTGTTTGATTCAAGGATGCCATTCATGCATGTGAGCGAGCAAGGAAATGCAATGAGGATGCAGATTGAGGTGTGGAGTTGTGCACGAGAACTGGCATGGGATGTGGGTGCCATGATGTATGTGACAATCACAATAAATGGGCCTAGAGTGGAGTTAAGGTTTGATGCTAAGATATATACAGAGTGGTCCATCAAGAAAGAATTCTATACAAGTGAGCTTAAGAGGCGAGGATAATGATGTGAAAATTTTAGATGAATGAATTTTTTAAAGGGAGCATGGGTTAGATAAAGAATAAAGCGTGGGAAGCCCAATAAGGTAGAGAATCCTCATTGATGTGGCCACAAGAAGTCTTTGATTTCACCTCATGTTCAAATTTGATCAAATTACATGACATGGCACCTATTTATAATAAGGTTATTGAAAAATCATAAAATTGTCTTCTGAACAAATGGAAAATAATAAACTATCCCTAATAAATTAATTGATTTAACATGTACTACAATAAAACTCAATACTGGTAGCATCTTGTAATATATAATTCAACACTTTATGAACATGCTTAGTGACGCGGAGCTTCCCACGAGTTCCATGATTCCACCCCCCTACAATGTTGCAATCCTAGCTACAATCCTGCTTGGAGCGGTCCTGCATGTAGTCGTCCGTGATTCCTGCAATGATGCCGCAGGATTTTTCGGCTCATACTAGTCCCGTAGAGTCGGTCGATAATTCCTCTTCATGTATTTCCCTCCTATTTAGAGTGGGTCCGCTCCTCTTTACACTAGGACTATATATTTATTATTTATGCATGTTTAGGGTAGTTTTGCATATCTATTTAAGATAGTCGTTGGCTGCCAGTGTTCCCCTTCTAGGGTTGTATCCGAAGGCAAGAAGGTGCTTTGGTTGTATCTCATTTGAGGTGGTGACATTCTCTAAGGGTTCGATTAGTGTTTCGGTTGTAGCTTGATCATGCGGGGATATTTATGCTTACCCAACCACTCTGCAACCTTTCCTGCCGCCCCCTCACTGCCGCAGTGCCCGGACAACCCTCCACTTCACTGCCCCGCGCTGTGTCAGCCCTCCACTTCACTGCCTCTCGCTGTACCAGCCCTCCACTTCACTGCTGCTGCTATCACAGGCCTTCCGCTTTGCTCTCAACGCTATTCCAAACCCTCCTTTTGCTGTCCCAGCCTATTTCAACCTCGCACCACCACTATTTGACCACCTATCTGATCTCTACCATCCCACAGATCGAGCCCTAGCTTGCATTTGTGTCGTGCTTGTTGTAATTTCCATTTCAAGCATGTTTGGTTGTAACAACCTACTTTTTTTAGCAATAATATTTACTTTTCCTATTGTGGTTTGGGTTAACTCCGGTATTACTTAGCTTGATATGGAGGATCTAAGGTGACGGTGGGGAAGCAAAGGCAGGGGGTTGTAAGGTGGAGAAGCTTGCTATCATATCTTTCTTAGGCCGCACATAAAAGTGGATAGACATTTCACGAGTATTGTTGTCTGCTTGAAGTTGACCTCCATCCAGCCCAAATACCACTGATTGGGGGTATGATGGCGTATAAGATGCTTGCTTATGGACATGCTAATCATATTGTCATTGTATTTTTTTAAGTTTCTTTACAATTTCACTGCTTATACTTTGTATTTTTTTCCTCTGTAACATTGCAAATTTAATCAGAACAAAATACTTTTTTTGTTGAAATCATTGAGTAGGAACTCACCGAACACATTCCAATTTTATACATATGGTATGCGGAAATGGAAATGGCAGCGTGTAAATCCAGCAGTAGTGGTGGGGAATTTGTGCAACGTGCATTGCATATACTGTCTTGCTTAGGTGGTAACCTCAAGTACAGTCCTTTTACAACCAAAACATCTGGTTTGGATATTTTGCGAGCACGACAAGGATTCAAAGAACAAGTTAAAAACTTACGTTCTGCATGGGCTCATGGTGATGTGAAGGAATCTTCAGTTGCTCTTATTCGCACAGCATCTTTGTTTGAGGTCTTAACCACCGGGTGCTCTGCTGGTATTCAAATTATGGAGGAAGCTTTCTCCATGGCACTTCCAGGTGAGTCATGGTTTACTTGCCGTAGAACGAAAATGTAGCAACCTATTTTCTTTGCTGCAGATCTCTTCATATGTCTATTATGGTTCATTGGAAAGCAAAAAGTTATTTGTCACCTCTTTATTATTTCTTTTTGGCGCTGCCTTTTTTATTTTACGTTTATGTTAGTCCCTTTTCTCAGCTATTTATTTGAATTGTTCCCAGGCCATCCTGAAGCACGTTTATCTTAATTCTAATCTCTCATCTATCCTCTTCCTGCCTTCCTCTTAAATCCTATTTGTGGAGTGTGAGGGAGAATTTGTTAAGAAAGTGCATTTATATGTGTTGGACTGCTGTTTTTTATTTTATTTTATTTACATACAAGACTCACATATCGATTATATCAACCATGAAAATTTTTTTTAACATCAGCGTTCAGCAGTCATGATTTTTATTGGTTGCATTTGCGGTCTTTAAACTATGAATTTTCACACTTCATTGATTGAGTTTAATTCATCACAACATAAAATTGTACTATAAATCCTAGATCTAAGACATCTTGCGTTAATGTGTTTGGCTTTTGGTGTTCCTGTTTTGCTGTTAAGCTAATGTTAAACTTTATTCTTTTTGAGAAGATTTACTTTGCTAGTTTTGTCCTTTCTCTTCCTTTGGCTTTCTGAAATAGTTCCTGCACTGCATGCGCAGAAGCCCATCACTTCTATCAGCCCCTAGAGTGGCTGAGTAAGGTTGAGAGGATAAAACTGCACAGCACTAAACGTAAGTGAGTTGCATGAGTCTAATAACCGGTAAAATAATAATAATAATAATAATAATAATAATAATAAAATAAAAATACTAATAATCGAATAGACAAGTATATCTTCAGTTTCAACTTAAGAGTAATATATCCTCATTCAAACCAAGTGAAATTGAGAGACTGAATGAGAGACAGAAGAAGAGTGTGTCCTAATGGATCGGTGGAGAAGAAGAGAGGAAAAAAGAATAAGAGAAGGAAGGAACGTTCGCATGCTAGACCTTAGCCGAGACAAGTAGAGAGGTCGAGAACGCACTTGGAGTTGGAAGCGTCGCCACCCTGTGCAAGTTCTTGCGGGAGATAAGGTCAAAGCCGAAGGAGAAGAAAGGGCTGCGATCTTTGTTTAGGAGAAGGTGAAGAGTTAAATGTCTTTATTGTGGGTTCGAGAGGAAGAAAAAGATAGGCAAGGAAGGCATGTCGTTTCGGGCCCTAGTCGTGCAAAGGAAGGGATGATGCGAGCTGCTACGTGCGTGGAGGAGAACCGTGCGAGCCTTAAACTGAAGTGAAACCTTCTTGTCAAGGAGAAGAAGCAGCTGAAGGAGCAGAAGAAGAAGCCGAGGGAGGAAGAAAGTATGTGTCTCTGTTGAGAGGAGGAGAAGCAAACCAAGAGCTTGAAGGAAATATATATATATATATATATATATGTTAGATGTTGTTGCAATAATAAAAGCTTTCAAGGAGTTGTGATAGATAGACAGGTTGAAGTGAGTAATTCTAATTCTAAATTTCAGTAATTTTTCTTATTTCTAAAATTATGTTTGATTTCATTTATTTTTTGTTCCACTGAGATTTAAATTATAATAAATTCTTCATATTTTTAGATAAGTAGATTATGCATGTTAAATAGTTGTATTTTTGTTTTCATAAGAAGAGTTTTAAGGCCAAATTATTTAAAGGAGCACGTAATTTAAGTGATTTATGGGAAGGAGCACCGATTAAATTTTTTTTTTTTAAATAAGCGGATCTCAGGGCACATATTAAATTAGTATGCACAGCCTTATGGGGCATCTCTTTATTATTTTTTAAATTTTATTAAAATGTCTTTGTTTTTAAACTTTGTTTAACTTTTTTTAAATTTAACTGATAATATATATATATATATATATATATATTAACTTAGTTTTTGTAATATGCATGTTAAAATCTCTATTTTTTATTTTTATTATAAATATTGTTATTATTAATATATTATATATGTATATTATTGTTATTTACAGAAACAAATTTATTAAAATTAATTTTCAATTAATAGTAAATATAATTGAAAAAATTAAATTAATTAACAAGATATAAAACTCGTAAAATTTATTTCATAATTAAATATTTTCATAATATAATATTTATAAAAAAAATACTGAAATAAAGCTATGACGAGATTTTGGAGCTATTGTGTAAAGATGAAGAATCAATATACATTGATTATATTGCATTTGATCAGTCAGGTCAGCATGATTTCGAAGTAGGGTCGTTTTCATGGAACAAATGTTAGAACGCTAGACCCTCGTCGATCAACTTCAGATGTCCTGCGTCGGTCTTATTAAAATATTTGCGGGACCCTCTAGCTATGCAAGACCCTCCGACTATGCAATACCATCAACATATGATGTTCCATAATTTGACTTGCAGTGGACAACCGTTACTGGTGGAGACTTAGATTTAAATTTTAAAACATTTGAATGTTTGGGTCCATGTCTCATGCAGGCATGAATTTCTGTATGCCACAACTTTATTCTCTGTCAAATCTCAACGAAGAAATTTTTTAGATGCCACAAGATGCTACGAATGACATGACTGAAAGCGATGATGCTGAAGAGGAATTTCAAGAACATCAGTTGTGGCACCGACCGCTGCGACAACCATCTCGATACACACCTGACTCAGGTGTTATTTCACCTCGACGTAGAAGATAATATTTTTTAGTAAATATTATGTTACAAAAATATTTAATTATGAAATAAATTTTACGAATGTTATATTTTGCCAGTTAATTTAACTTGTTCAATTTTATTTTCTTAATTAATTAAAAATCATTTTTAATAATTTATTTTTTGTAAGTAAACATTATATATATATATATAGTCTGTTCCTGATTTTCTGCCATCGCCGTTGGATACTGCAACTGCCCGCTTTCGCCAACGCCAGACGCCAACCGCTCCCGCTTTCGCCGCTGCCGAACGCCAACCACCGGCCTCCGTCCTATAGTCTTCTTGGGTTTTTTCTCAAATTTCTGCTATCTATTGCTATTCCATTGGCTTTTTCTTTGGTTTTTCTTCTTGTCTTTGTGGTTGATATTTCTGGTTGGTTGAATCAAGAATCTGATGGCTGATTCGAACCAGTTCTTTAACCAAATCAGCTCTTCAATTTTGATTTTTTGGTTGGTAAATCCATTTTTGTGGATGTTGTTGGTAATGGTGCGGTTAATTCTTCTTATTTGGATAAGTTAGTCTTTTCATGAATTTATCATGATGCCGCTGTAGGGAGAGGAGATTGTCAATTCATTAACAAAGTTGTAAAGAAAGGAGGGAAACCTGCTTTAATATTCTTCTTATTTGGATAAGTTAGTCTTTTCATAAATTTATCATGATGCTGCTGTAGGGAGAGGAGATTGTCAATTCATTAACAAAGTTGTAAAGAAAGGAAGGAAACCTGAGGAAACCTGCTTTAATATTTTGCTTTAATATTTTATGATCTTGAACTTTCTACTTTGGCTGATGTTCATAAATTTAACTTAATTGGAAAATTTCAGTTTGGACATCCAAAAATAGAAATTATAAGGAAATGCTTTGAAGATTTTAAACTTGTTGGAAGGTGGATGGTAGGCCTCTTTGATGGACGTCATATTATGATTCAACTAACCAAGGAGGAAGATTATGCTAATTTATTTTCTAAGAAGTTTGTTCTTATTGATGGATCATATATGAAGATTCTTAAATGGTCAACTGATTTTGATCCTAATAAAGACTCTCCTGTTGCACCCATTTGGTTTAAATTACCAAATCTTAAATTGCAGTTTTTTAATCATCAGGTTATTTTTGCAATTGGTACAGCCTTGGGAAGGCCTTTGAGCTTGATATGCCCACTTTTAATTTGACTAGACCTTCAATGGCAAGGATTTTGGTGGAAAGAGATGTTACGTTGAAGAGATTTGGCTTGGCTATGCCCATAATGGGTATTGGCAGCCAATTGTGTGGAACAAAGGCTTAATTATTGTCATCATTGTAAAATGTTTGGACATTTCATGGAAAAGTGTTTTCGGCTACCTCCTAATCTCAAATCTGTTGTAGTAACTGCTAAAAATGGTATGCTACATATAGTTGTTGGTAATGATTTTTTACGTCCTGCTCCATTAGTAATTGATATTGATCCTCCTAATAAATGCCCTTTACAAGTAGATGGCGCATCTGAGCATGGTCTTCAACAACTAGCTCAATTGGTTCCATTACAAGTTAATGTTGTTTCTTCTATTGTAATTCCTTCACATGTAGAAGAGGTTACTAAACAATGTCCTCAACAGTTATCTCATGTTGATAATAGTGGGAATTCTGATTCTCTTATTGTTGAACATGAAATTGTTGATGCTACTGCTGGTAAAACATATCAATCTGTTGGAACTCTTCTTGTCTACTAAATATCCTGATATTCAACACAATATACAAGAGCTTGTTACCTCAAATAATGATGCTATGGAGAAGACCATGAAAGAATTACATGATGACTGGATTGTGCAGAAAGCTAAAAAGAAAAAGTCTGTTGAATTTAAAAACCTTTCAGAAGAAAATATCATTGTGCAAAAAGGTTCTACATCATCTTCTTTCTCTAGAGTAACTAGAGGAGGGAGAGCTAACACCCATGATTGTGTTTTTGTGCTGGAATATTAGGGGGGTGGCAAATCCTGGCTCCCTTAATAGGCTTTTAAATTTGAACAGGGCTCACAAGTTCTGGGTATTTGTTCTTCTGGAACCTATGGTGAAGACTAATTTTATTAGATTTACTAAACATTTTTCTAATTACTGCTTCAAGGCGAATTGTTCAAATAAGATTTGGTTATTCTGTAGAAAAGAGTTGAATTTTACTGTTCTTCAAAATCATTCTCAGTTTCTTCATATTCAGTCTGAATTTGAGCAGTTTAATGGTTTTGCTACATTTATTTATGTTGGATGTTCTAATGAAGAAAAGATTGAGCTTTGGTCTCATCTACATTGTATAAGTC